CTGGCTAACTTTTTATATACATATTTTTAGTTATCCAGATCATTTCTTTCTATTTTTTTAGTAGAGACGGGGTCTCGCTCTTGCTCAGGCTGGTCTCAATCTCCTGACCTTGAGCGATCCACCCGCCTCGGCCTCCCAGAGTGCTAGGATTACAGGGGTGAGCCACCACGCCCGGCCCACCTTTATTATTTTTTAATACAAAACCTAAAGTTTATCGAGAAATCCAATGTTTTATTACATCTAACTTCTATCTCTACCAATATAATCCTTGACACAGCATCTCCATACATTTTATCACCATTATCACTTGTCTCATCCATGAGGAGGATAAACCAAGCAAAAAAACCACTAAATATTCATGTCATTAGGGCAACAGCTCCTTTCCTACTGAAGTGTTGGTCCCTGTTCCCAAATGTGCTACCACCTAAAGCAATGTGGCAGGAGCAAAGCATGCTTCCCATTAGTCAACTTCATTGTATCCGACTGTCGCACATTTATAGATGTAAAAGGCAAGTTATGACTTAAAATTATCAAAACAGGCAGCCTTTTTGAGGCTGAAATCTTATGTGTTCACTGTCACTTAGAATCTTTATTCTTTTGCATGCTACAAACTCTTGAGACAGAAAGTTAAAGTTGTGTTTTCTAGAAATGTTTAATCTTTCTCCTGGGAAGGTTATTTTGTCTATTATTTTTTCAACGGTGTGAAATTTTTCATGCTTACAAAAGCACTATATAGAGCTGGGCTGTCCTATACAATAGCCGCCAGCCACATGTAGCTACTAAGCGTTCAAGATGTTGCTGATACAAATTGAGATGTGCTGTAACTGTAAGCGCACACTGGACTGCAAAGTGTGAAAAAAAGAAGATAAAGTGACTCACGAATTGTTTTTGTGTACTGACGGCATGCTGAAATGATATTTTGGATATACTGGGTTAAAGAGAATCTATTATTAAAATCAACTTTACTTGTTTCTTTTTACTTTTTAAAATGCACCTACTTGAAAATTTTATTTTTTAAAATTATTTATTGATTTTGCTTCTCAATTAACTTGAAGAGACAGTGAAAATTTTAAATTACACTTGTGGCTCGAATTGGATTTCCACTGGACAAAACTGGCAAAGAACTCATGTACCACCACCCTGCCTGAAAAATTAAAATGCGACAGAGTCAACAGAAGACCGTGTGCCCCTCCCCAGTTCCATTCCACTCCCTCACGCCCCAGAGGTAACCACGATCACGCACAGGTGTTTTGGTATACCATTACTATTTATATTGTAAGACTGCACAGTGGCTCACGCCTATAATCCCAGCACTCTGGGAGGCCGAGCTGGGTCGCCTGAGGCCAGGAGTTCAAGACCAGCCTCAGCAACACAGCAAGACCCGTCTCTACAAAAAAACAGAAAATTTAGCCGGGCACAGTGGCGCACGCCTATAGTCCCAGCTATTTGGGAGGCTGAGGCAGGAGGATCACTTGAGCCCAGGAGTTGGAGGTTGTAGTAAGCTATGATGATGACACTGCACTTTAGCCTGGGTGACAGAGCAAGATCTTCTCTCCAAATTTAAAAAAAAAAAAAGCATCCTTACTACATATATTGTAAACTTCTGCCTTAAGGCTATAAATGGGACCCATGAAATGCAATCCCACAAATTCTCAGTGTTCTTGTCCCACTGCAAGAAACAAGAGTTTCTGTTGCTCCCTGCCAGCACTTGGAACTACCTGAGGGTCAATCCTGCCTGTCTTCGAGTATAACACTCCGCCTTCCAGCCGTCTTGGATGTTGGACTCCAAGTAAGTTCACTTCAAATGTTTCAAAAACACTTTTAAGTCTCCTTCCTGCTCAGTTCTGCACTCCGGTAAGAAGTGGCCAGGGAGGATCCCCTCTGCTCAGAACATGGTGGTCTCAACTGTGTGTCCCTGGGACCATGGAAACAGCACTTGTAGCACAGCTGTTGCTCAGGCCTGCCGGCAGCCATTCTTCCATCTTTAGTGACCATATTTTGACTTTCCTCACTCTTACCTTTGCCCCATGTGGCTCCAATGTGGCAGAGCCCACAGCCTGGCTGCAGAGGTGGGCATCCCACCAGGCCTGTCTATCACCCTTGCTACAGTGATGGGCTCAGGGGCTGGCAAGTGACCAAGGTGGCCCAATGCACATCAGAGAACTGTGGCTTGACGACTGGGAAAGAGGCAGCCTGTTTCAGTCGGGATTTCGGCCAGTAGTTAGGAGCCACACCGAGTACCTCAGTGAGAGAAGCTGCCTGAGAACGAAGCCAACAGAATGAAGCAGAGTGACCAAGAGAAGCTTTTGACTTCGTTTGTGCCCCTGGATCAAACTATGCCTGAAGCCCATAGAACTCGTGGACTTTAGTTACATAAGCCCGTAAGTTGCCTTTTTTAAAAAAGAAATTGTGGTGAAATACACATAACATTTACCATCTTAACCATTCCTAAGTGTACAGATCAGCAGCATTAAGAACATTCACAGCATGGTGCCTCCATCGTCACCACCCGTAGTCAGAACTGTCTCACCTTACGAAACTGAAACTCTGTACCCATTAAGCAACAATTCCCTATTCCTCCCTCCCAGCCCCTGGCTACCACCATGCTACCGTCTATGATTCTGACTATTCTAAGTAACTCGCAGAAGTGGAATCATGCAGTATTTGTCCTTTTGTGACTGGCTTATTTCACTTAATGTCCTCAAGGTTCATCCATGCTGTAGCATGTCCCAGAACCGCCTTCCTTTTTAAGGCTGCGTGGTACTCCACTGCATGTGTGTAACGCACTTTGCTTATCCAGTTATCCAACGATGGACACTCAGTTTGCTTCCACCTCTGGTTACTGTGAATAATGCCAGGCACATGGGTGCACCAACGGCCTTTTCTGGCCTGAGCCAGGCTGAATGGGTTTCTGGTACTTGCACAGAGTCGTGCCTGACTCAGCGCCTGAATCAACTGAGCCAGAGGCCTTTGAGGTGCAGGAGAGGTGAGCTCCGTGCCTGGATGCGACCCGCTGAGCAGGTCAGGTCCTCCCACTGAGCAGCAGACTCAGAGAAAGGAAGGCAGCAGGTGAGGCAGGGACAGTGGAGGGGACGGCTGGGCCTGTCACTGGCATCTCCTCTCCCCACACCCTGCCTGTGAGTGGCTGACAGGGTCACGCTGCAGCTGGCACCTGTCCGGATGCCCAGCACCTCTGGGGGGTTCTCCGTCTTCTAGACGTGTGCCCCACAGGTGGGGGCAGAAGCCCCTGCCCTCCTTGCAGCCGGGGTGCGGCCTGCGATCCCGATCCTGCCCACCGCACCCCCACTGCAGCTCCTGTGTGAAGGTGGGTGTCAAGGAGGGGGCTGGCAGAGGCGTCGGGATTCCAGAGGCAGCGTCCCAGCCCAGCGGCGCAGAGTCTTCCAGCGGAATCGCTGGCATTTGTTGCTGGCTGACCCTACAAGCCAGTACCCGCAACCCGCACAGCTTTGCCCAGCCTTCTCCTCACCCCACAGAAGAGGGCAGAGGGCCCTCTGAGAAGCCCACGCAAGCTATGGGCAACTTATGCAGAAAAACAGAATGTCACGAAGTTCACGGACTCCCCCTGGAGGCCATTCTTGGTCTCCCTGGGATCCGAGGGAGGGTGAGGACTGATCCAGATGGAAGGAGACTACACCGATGTGAGAACCACGGGCAGAGCCTGACCCCAGGCTGGGTCCTGAACCAGAAGGGGAGAGGATAACACACAAGGAGCGGCAAGGGGCCGCCTGGAGAGACCAGGGACAGCGCTGCAGCACCAAGGTTAAAAGGCCAAGGGCCTGATGACAGGAGGGTGCCGGGCTTGCTTCCTACCGAGGCTGCGCGGGAGCTGCCCTTGCGGGAGACGCCTGTGAGCATCAGAGCAGAGAGTTACAGCGTCCCCGACAGAGTCTGAAATGGCTCGGGAATGGGAGGGAGAGACGAAAAGCAAAGAAAGGGAAGAGAAGAGAGGAGGAAGGAAGGAAGGAAAGAAAAAACGTGTTTACATCCGTATGGGAGGAAGGAGGGCATGAGAGCACACAAATGCATCAAAAAGTTAGAAACTGACGAATCTATACTGCATGATTCAGCGAGTCTGCAGAGAGAGCAAGCACACGGGTGGTTGCCGGGGCGAGGGGTACGGCTAGAGGAGATGGCTGAGGGGTGCGGGGTTTTTAGGGGATGATGAAAACCTTCTAAAATCAACGTGGTGATGATGCACGACTCTGAGAATATACTAAAAACCACTGAAGTGTGCACTTTGGGTGAACTGCAGGGCACGTGAATTACATCTCAAAGAACTGTTTAAAAAAAAAAAAAAAACAGCCGGGCGCGGTGGCTCACGCCTGTAATCCTAGCTCTCTGGGAGGCCGAGGCGGGCGGATTGTTTGAGCTCAGGAGTTCGAAACCAGCCTGAGCAAGAGCAAGACCCCGCCTCTACTAAAAATAGAAAGAAATTAATCGGACAACTAAAAATATATAGAAAAAATTAGCCGGGCATGGTGGCGCATGCCTGTAGTCCCAGCTACTTGGGAGGCTGAGGCAGGAGGATCACTTGAGCCCAGGAGTTTAAGGCTGCTGTGAGCTAGGCTGACACCACGGCACTCACTCTAGCCAGGGCAACAGAGTGAGACTCTGTCTCAAAAAAAAAAAAAAAAAACCACACTGGCAAATCTCAGCCCAGGCTATCTGGGTGTTCATGGTGCTATTGGTGCAACTTTTCTGTAAGTTTGAAGCTTTTCAAAAATAAAAAGTTGGGCCAGGCGCGGTGGCTCATGCCTGTAATCCTAGCACTTTGGGAGGCCAAGGCGAGAGGATCGCTCGAGGTCAGTTTGAGGCCAGTTTGAGCAAGAATGAGACCCCGTCTCTACTAAAAATAGAAAGAAATTAGCTGGACAACTAAACATATATAGAAAAAATTAGCCGGGCATGGTGGCGCATGCCTGTAGTCCCAGCCACTTGGGAGGCTGAGCAGGAGGATCGCTTGAACCCAGGAGTTTGAGGTTGCTGTGAGCTAGGCTGACGGTACGGCACTCTGGCCGGGGCAACAGAGCTAGACTCTGTCTCAAAAAAAGTAAATAAATAAAAAGTGGGAGGAAGGGAAGGGAGAGAGCCCAGCTCCAGGGCTAATTCCACCCACTCCCCATGTTATGCACAGGAGGGCTCCCAAACCTCAGATCTTCACCTCCACGTGTCCCACCAGGTATTCATGTCCCCACAGCGCTCTCACGGCCACCTGAACTCCAAGCCCCATGTGGAACCCTACCCTTCTCCAGCCTGGCCGGCGACACCGTAAGCACAGCCAAGCTGAACTCTGCCAGGATCTGTTCCTTCGTCAGAGTCTCCCTTTCCTCCCAAATGGCCCTCCACGGCCGAGCCGGGCACTACGCTCGTGCCTTGTCATCGATGACCACCACCACACGAGGCAGTGCCAGCCGTCCTGCTCAGTAACACGGGAGTGAGCTTCAGGAACGTGCCCGGGGTCAAACAACCAGTCACTGACAGAGCTGGGCGGCAAACCCATCAAGTGGGACTTCAGAAGCCACGCTGGGGACCCAGGGATCCTCTGGGGTGTCCCGCAGGCATCGCACACCTGCGAGAAGCCACACCCCTCCCCCAGGGAAAGTGAACACGGCCAGACACAGAGTTTCAGGGGGTTCTCGGGCCCCACACGATGGACCCCGAGGCACCGTTACCCTCAGAGCCCAGGGAGGGCAGTCCTGCAGCCCCTGCACGCCTCTGCTGCCCTCCCTACCCGCATCGCCTCCAGGGGCACCCACGCCAGGCTCCCGGCAATACCCCGCCAGATGCACTTTTGGACAAGTCCCTTCTGTGTGTGGCTCGATTTCCCCAGCTACTCGGGGGTAAAACGACACTTCCAGCTGACAGCAGTCTGCGCTCTTATTCTGCGCCACTGCTGGGCTCCAGGCAATCCCTGAGGCAGGTACCTACACCCACATTTGGCAGGTGAGGAAACTGAGGCACAGAGAGAGCCAAAGAATCGTAGGAAATAGGTTTGGCCTTTGAGCTCAGGCAGCCTGATTCCAAAGCTCTCAACCTGGGGCCACGGGCGAGGAAGGGCACCCCCGCCCCGCACACGGCACACCAGGGGCCCACCTCGGCGCGCGATTTCCGCCTTCAGCAGCCCCTCCATGGCATCTGACTCAGCCAGGTCCAGGGGCAGGTCCCCGTCACTGTTGACGGCAGCGATGTTGGCCCCATGGCTCAGGAGGTACCTGGGGGTAGGGGGTGGTCAGGGCTGAGGGTCCAGGCCCCTGCCCCATCCAGACCCTGCCCACCCCTCCCCTGCCTCACCTGGCAATGTCCAGGTAACCGCAGGAGGCGGCCACATGCAGAGGCGTCCAGCCCTCGTTGTCCGCCTGGTTCACCGTGGCGCCCTGCTCCACCAGGAAGCGCACCACCTCCAGGTTCTCATCGATGCAGGCCTGCGGGGCGGAAGACAGGGCTGTCAGCACACACCCCTCCAGCCACGGCACACCCAGCAGAGCAGGACTCCCACAGGGAGCCACCCAACAGATCCAGGGGCCCAGTGCGAGTGATGTTGGGAAAGAGACCCTGATGGCCTCTGGCACAGGCCCTGGAGGCCCGACTGGCCACCAGCTGTTTAGGACACTCCTGGCCGCACCATGGTCAGGTCAGCCGGGCATTCGGAGCTCAGTGGAGACCACGAGAGGACTCTCAGCTGCCTGTAAACAGAAAGTGAACAGGGAAGGGATGGGGGCTTCTCATCCAGGTGTGGGAATCCTGACCGGTGCTTGGTAGACACGTTACGACCCGGTCACCACCTGCAGGGTGGGGATCGCAGGGCTCAGACTAAGGGAGGAGGTTCCAGCCCCTCGTCCTTCAGACCCAGGGCTCCAGGCCCCCGCCACTCCCCTTAGACCCAGCCAGTTCCTTCCGAGGGACAAGACTGGAGCGCACACCCCAGCAGATACACTCCAGGAACCGACAGGGCTGGTAAAGTCCCCTGCCCCTGGGATACAGTGGCGGTCCCAGACAGGATTCCCAAAGAGGGCGAGACGCCGGGATTCCTGCGTGCCCAGGAGCCCAAGCTGGCCCAGCTGCTGTTCCCTGAGGGCCTGCTATGCCCGAGGTGCTGCCAGGGGCTTTACTTGGACCATGCTGTCTGATCCTCCCATGCAGGGAGTGAAATCTCGGGAAGGTGGAAGCCCACGCTCAAGCCAGCACAGCAAGCGGGGTCCAGAGGAGAGACCTCGCCCAGGGCTCGTGTGGAAACTGGTGGCACTGGGAGCTGCAGGGGTCCGAGGCAGGGTGTGGGCCTCAACTCCTGGGTCCTCAGGATAAATGAACTCCCCGGCTCCCTCACCTCTCCGAAGCTGCCCATCTGGAGGAGGGGGAGGGAGCTACGAGGGCCAAGAGCATGAAGTCATGGAAACTCAGCCTGCACAAGGGGGGCCACACGTGCCCTGGGAACGGGATGAACTCTGGGCTCGTTTATTTCCACCCGGTTGTCATGGCGATGGGGGAGGGGGGCAAGGAGAGAGATGGGCATTTCCCTTTCAAGGCTCTGCCCAGCACAGGCACCCATGTGAAAGATGCCTGAGGCCTGGGCACCAGGGACCCAGGGATCTAGGCCCAGCCCCTCCTCCCTCGGACCCGGGGTCTGGGCCCAGCCCCTCCGCTCCAAACCCAGGAGTCAGGGCCCCCAGCCCCTCCTTTCGCACCCAGGGGTCCGGGCCCCCGGCCCCTCCCTATTCAGACCTGAGAATCCCGGCTCCCAGAACCCCACTCCTACTCCAGACCCCAATCCCCTAGCCACTAATGCACACGGCAACTTGCACAGGGTGGGAGTCGGGGGAGTGTACCAGGTTTGCCAAGTAGGGGTAGGGGCTGAGGTAGGGGCTGAGGCTTGAGAACCTACAGGAAACACAGCCACGGCAGCAGGCCGATGGTGGAGGACCTGTCCCAGGAAGGGTTCAAGATGGAAATCCCAGCCCCAGGTGGAGGAACCAGCTGACATTCAGGAGGCACCCAGACACGGTGACCAATCGTACCTATTTCCTGGGACTGAGGGTTTTCAGCACTAAAACCAGGCCAGTCCCGTGCAAACAGCATAGGGTGGTCACCCCAGACCCAGACCTGATCCGAACCCGAGCTCCCTGCTTGCCGGCCATGTGACCTGAGGAGGGAACTTCCTTTTTCTGAAACCCAGACCACTTCTGTCCTCAGGCCTCCTGCAAAGCCCTGGAGACCGAGTTCACCAAGCGCTCACCCCACAGTAAGAGGCAAATCCACCCAAGAGGCAGCCGGACAGGCAGGGCCAGGGCAGCTCCTGTGGGGTCCAGGTCAAGGAGGTGGTCTGGGTCTCTGAGGGACGCAGGGGAAGGGTCTGGGTCTGAAAAGCAGGACCAGGAGCCCTGTAGGGAGGGTGCAGGAGAGTCGGGGACATGGGCTGACAGAGGAGAAAGGGGGCACCGAAGCCTGAGCCCCTCTCTTAGGCCCACCGAGGACACGGAAACCCAGAGAACAGCCTCAGGGAAGTGGGACCCCACTCTGGGTGGAGGAAAATGTCCCAGATAGCACTGAAGCCACTGCAGGGACAGGGCCTGGGGGTGGGGAAACAGAAGGGGACAGAGGCAGCAACTCCCCAGTGAACACCTATAAAGCATGACACCCTGCAAAGGGAGTTTTCCACACGTACAACCTCCCTCCTTCACCAGAGCCCTACCAGGGAAGGACTTGACTACTGGCCCCATTTCACAGGTTAGAAAACTGAGGCAAAGAGGAAAGATACTAATTCAATGTCACAAAGTCAAGAAGCTGAGATTAGAACTTAGGACAAACTGATTCTGGTTCTGTTTTTTCCCCAAACTACTACTCTTTTTTTTCTTTTTTTAGAGACGGGGTCTTGCTGTGTTACCCAGGCTGGTCTCAAACTCCTGGCCTTAAGTGATCCTCCTGCTTCAGCCTCTCGAGTAGCTGGGACTAGAGGCGTGAGCCAGCAATGCCCAGACCCAACTGCTACTCTTCTTCAGAATCTGGGAAGTGGACCTGGTCAAGCGTCCTCCCCCTTCCACTCCAATCCTGCCACGCTTTGCTTCCTAGGACCCTCTCCAGCCTCACCAGTAACTGAACCTTAGGGGTTCTGGCAAGGAGAAGGGGCTCCAGGAAATGGGGGTTTGTCACCAGAGAAGGAATCTGTTCAACAGGAGGTGGCAGTTGGACCAACATTGAGAGACTAGGAAGGAGAAGGCCTGGGGATGGGGCTTTTCAGAGGCCAGGCTGTCTCTGGTGGTCCCACTGGGGGGAAGCAGGGGAGAGAAAGGCACCCAGAACCAGAGAGAGCCCTGGGAACATAAGGTGGCCCTGGCTCCGGGACACAGGATCACTGGAGGCAGCAATCAGGGGGTCTTGGAGAGAACATGGGGCCCCAGGTTGGAAGAAGAGGACTAACAGGGTTCTAGAACCCTTGGAAGATGACATCACAGGGGGCTAAGACAGAAGGCACAGTCTATGGGAGGGGAAAGCTGCCCAAATAAAAGGAGAGGTGACCCAAATCCACAGAAGGAGGGGTGACCAGGCAAAGAAAGCAAGATGATCAAGAGGACAGGGTGGTGGCCCACAGCCAGGAAGAGGTGGTGCTTTGAGGTTGTCCAGAAAAAGGGTGATGGATGCAGGCCTGGCCGCAGGAAGGGGAGAGAGGAGAAGAGGACGAGATACAACACTAAGAGAAGGCCCATGGTGAGAGGCACGAGATGGCACAAGATCCACCACGAGAATGAAGAGGGAACCAACTGAGTTAAGAGGTTAGGGGTCGAGAGGACAGAAAGCATGAAGTGACCCAGAAAGGGGAAGCATCCGCTTCACAGAAACAAGGTGGTACAGAGCCTAGAACGAAGTGGCTCAGGAAAGAACATCTTTAGGCAGCAACAAATGGCACGGACCAAGGGAGAGAATGGGGGGTGGGAGGAGAGGACAGAAGCTGAAAGAAGTGGCATTGAAGGATCTAGGCCTAGCCAAGGAGGTGGTCCAGGCCAGAGACTGGGGGAGGAGGAGGCACAGGCCCAGGAAAGAGAAAGATACAGCTCAGTGGAAGCAGCACCTGCCTAGAAAGAGGAAACAGTGGGCCAGAGGTGGCCTGGCAGCAAGCAGAGCTGGAAGAAGTGGTACAGGATCAGGAAAGAGATGGCAGAATTAGGTGGCAGAATAGAACTGGCACAAGTAGAAATGGCACAGATGAAACGAGTAAAGGGCATTCAGGGTCTGGAAGACAGCAGCGTCAAGTGACCACGACCAGGACCAGAGACAAGGACCAGACTGAGCGGTCAGAGGTGGCTCAGGTTCAGGGAGAGGGCAGAGCAAGATCTGGGCAGGCAAAGCCCAGAGCCAATAACGACGGCGCAGATCAAGACTGGCAACGGTGGCTCAAAGTTGGGAAGGGGCGACGCTCAAGGTGGCGCAGATCGAGGGTGGGTCAGTTCCAGGAAAAGAACAGCGCGACGGAGACGACCCAGGGCGGGGGCGCTGACCTGGTGCAGGGCGCTGATGCCGTCGGCGTTGGTGGAGTCGAGCACTGCGCGGGCGGGCGGCGGGGCGGCGGGGTCGAGCTCGGCGCCGGGGCCGGCGTCGGCAGCGCGCAGCATCAAGCGCGCCTCGTCCAGGTCTCCGCCCGCACAGGCCGCCAGGAACTCGGCGGCGCGCTCGAAGCGGACGGTGCGGGCGCGGCGTTCCCCGTGGCCCGGCTCCGCGCCCGCCCGCGCCCCCCACTGCCGCAGCTGCTCTCGCCGCCGCTCACGGGCAGCCGCGGCCGCCGTCCCCGGGCCCGCCGCCGGGCTGTCCTCGCCCGACATCGCGCCGCCCGCCCGCCTAGCGAGCGAGCGAGCACGGACCACAGAACAGCAGCCGCCACAGCCGCCCGCCCGCCCCGGGGGCCGCCGGGAACTGCAGCTCGCGGCGCACCGCCCCAAGGATCTCCTGGCCCCGCCCGACGCGCTGCCGTCACATCGTAGCCCCAGGGCACCCTGGGAATTGGAGTCCGAAGTCCTAAGAGGCGCCTAGTGACCACCCGATGGGATGGGGGAGGGGAGGAGGCAGGTCGCGGGGAACTCTGGGAAATGGCGCTTATGACCGGAAGTTGCTGCTAGCGACTTTCGCCTCTTGCTATTCCCCGAGGCCCACTGCGAAGGCCGCAGCTCCCTGGCGTCAAATGGAAATCGCCTGGGCGAGGCCATACTCTGGGGAACGCTGGGAAATGGAGTCTCGGGCTGAAGGGGTATCCCAGGGCGTGCTGGGAAATGAAGTTCAGGGTATAAAGGTGTCGAAGAGCAGGCCCAGGGGCCTGTGCGGAAATCGACTGGACAGCTGGGCTCTAAAGGGTTTAGAACTGACTTTTCCATATACCTTACCACCTTTCCGCGTACTATATAATTCATTTTGGAATTTTTTTCCCGCCCCTGTCAAGTAGAAATAAGTTCCGTGAGGGCAGAGATTTTTGTCTGCCGTATGCACTACTCATTCTCAGTGCCTAGAACTGAACCTGAGCGTGCGCGATCGAAGATAATTGTGTGAATGAAAGAATGAATGGAGGCCGTAGGTCGTGGGAGGCACCAAGGCACCATGGGAAATTGAGTCCACAACTCAGAAGTCCCTAAAGACAGTTCACCTCCAAGCTTCCTCGGGTGACTGCCCAGAGCATGTTGGGAAATAAGGTTTGCGCTGCAAAGGTCACGGCAACAAAGTACCAACCGAGAGCATGCTGGGAAATATAGTCCGCAGGGTCACGACGTTAGTAGCGCATCTGGTTGTAGGCAGGACCCCAAGGAACCCCAGGAAATCGAGCTTCAGGGCGAGAGAAGTCCAAAATCCTGATGGTAATCCATGGATCACACCGGGAAAGCAACCCAAGGGGCTCGGCCCACAACGACAGAGCCCCCAGAACCTTCACTGACCGACCCTTCTCCCGCGCCCTCTAGGAGCTCTCTGGGAAATGTAGTCCAGGCTCTAGCACAGTCGCAAGGCAGGTTGGGATTTGTAGTTCAGTGCAAGGCGTTCCAGTAGTTTTGAAAAGTGAATCACCTTGTCGCAGACCCAAGTGATAAGCACACCTTAAGAATTCTGCACCTACATCCACATTGGGAAGGTGGCAGACACTTTTAAACAGGATCAGAGATCCATAAAAGTCATACAGCTGCCAAAACTAGACAGAGGCAACAGACTGTTTCCCAGGGGATGTTAGTGTAGCCACCCACTCTGAAGTCCTTAGGCTGGAGCAGAAAATAAACTTCAAATCCCATGAGGTCTATCCTTATACAAAAGGACAGTCCTGGTGACTCTTGGGATGTGTGGTCCCTGAACCGCACACTTTCCACACACATGCGCACCAGCCTCTTTCCCTCACGAAGATAAGTAAACCTTCAGGGTGTTATTGTGTGTGATTGTGGTTATGTGTGTATTTCTGTGCCTGTGCAAAATTGTACTACCTTATAATTATGTGTATTCGATCATGTCTGTGGCTGGGTATACGTAGTTTATGGGTGCTCGTGTTTATGTTTATACATGTTCTGTAAACATGTCTACATATATTTCCATGACCGTGATTTTTGTGTGTGTGGGAAACACAATTTGGGGTATCTACCCAACCCACCCAATGAACCTTGAGACATACTTTGGCCATCAGCTCTATTAGCAATCTTTACATTGATTGCTTTCTTTAGACTTCTATTTTTAAAAATTTATTCCACTGGAATGGTAAAGAATTCTAGCTCTGAAGTTGACAGTTCTGGGTTTGAATGTTGTCTCAGACCACTTCCTGGCTCTGTAACCTGGGCCCAGTGTCACTGTCTCCACCTCCCGGAGTTGCTGAGATGGTGTACATAAAGTATCTGATAATTAGACTACATTGGCTGTGTACGTGCATCTTCATATTCCGCCTGAAAAAATTCTCTTTTGCCGTTTTCTTTTCCGTAGTGAAGACTTTTTCACTTTCCAGGACTGCTGTTTTCTCTCCATGTTAACAGTGGAATGCTTAACCTTGGAACTGTGGGCCCTCCTCACTGCTGGTGAAAATAATCTCAGAAAGATAAGAAGAAGAAAATGGTCCCTCTTCCCCTGTAATAGCAGGAACCATAAAGATGGTTCAGATAAGGAAGTGAAGTGAAAACATCCATGGAAGTATCAAGGTGACTCTCTTGTCCTTTGTAGAGACAGGGGTAAGACTATTATAAGGCCATTCTGCTTTCTGTTATTTTAAAACTGTCCTTAGAATAGTTATTTGCATAAAAACTTTAAAGTGTAAGAGGAAATTGTATTGTCAAAGATACACCATGGCTGACCTGCCTGGGACTATGAACACATTAAAATGTCCCCTGGGTCCCCAAACTCACACCAACGGGAAGGAGGCTTTGAAATTGCTAAACTTCCCAAGAATGGCATCATCCCAAATATCATCTTCAGATATGGGCAGGAAAAGAAGCCTTCCCCCAAATGCAGTGTCGGGGCCACAGTGATTATAGAGATTAAAGGGGTTTTATCCCAGCATGTAGAACGAGGTCTTCCAGCTTTGTTAACATATCATCCCTGTTCCTGTCCAGAGACTGCTGTGGGCTTCCCTTTCTCCCCTTTTCCATATAGTAGTTTATTGTGGTTGCTTTTGTAACATTTTCCCTATTCCTTCTCCTCCATTGTGGATTTAGGGAGAGAGAGCTTGTCTTTTTGTTTATAGGATGCCAAACCATCCAGAGACACATCCAAATAGAATCATATGATATGTGACCTTTTGCGTCTGGCTTCTTCCCCTCAGCATGATGTTTCCAAGGTTAATCCACATTGTGGCATATATCAGTACTTCATTCCCTTTTATGGCTGGACAATATTCCATTGTGTGGACATACCAACCTGTCGGTGGACATTCGAGTTGTTTCTACCTGCGGCTGTTATGAAAGATGCTGCCATGAACGTTCATGTCAAGTTTTTACGTGGACATATGTTTTTGGTTCTCGTGGGCACATACCCAGGAGCAACATTCCTCGGTCGTATGTTAATTCTGTCTCACTTTTTGAGGAACTGCCAGACTGTTTTTCAAAGCACGTGCCCCGTTTCCCACGCCCACCAGCAGTGTGTGAGGCTTCAACTTGACCTATCACTTTAGTGACTGTTGATGACACTCTCCCAAGCCACAGCACCACGGTGATAATAAGTCGATTAACCGTGAGAGCCCGGGGGCATATCAAGAATAATGACATCGAAGAACTCAGCAGACGTCTACAGGGGGAGCATTTATTTCGCGCTACAGATGGAACAAATGCTCGAGGGCTCCCGGGTGCCTCAGGGTGGGCCACTGCCCTGGCGTCCTCACTTCCAGCGGCCTCCAACGCGGCCTTTCCCTGCCCCCTTCCGGCTGCAGGAGAAGGAGGTGGTATCAGGAAGGAGGGGGGGCCCTTCCAACCTCTGAGCCCCCAATTCAGGAAGTCCATCCCCCAAAATATTAGCCCTCCCCGCCCAGAGGAAGATGTGGGCAAAGGCGTTCAACCGGCAACTGGAGTCTCATTCGGATTTAACGATCTGGGTGGGGTGGCTGGTGGTTAGAGGCCTCACTGCCACGTGGGCGTTGATAATATTTGTAGGTGAGCTCAGGATGTTCACGTGGGTGCTGATAAACGTTTATGAGGAACGGGCCAGAGTCGGGGGGTCGGGGGGAGAAGGGCTGGGGGACCTGAGGGTGAGTAATGGGCAAGAGGGGCCGGGGAGGCTGGGGTGAAACTGACAGAGAGAGAGAGATTCAGAGAGAGAGATTGAGAGAAGACTTTTTCAACCTCAGCCCTACAGATATCTGGGGCTGGAACATTCTTTGCTGTGGGGGGCTCTGTCTTGTGCACTGTGGGGTGTTGGGCAGCATCCCATCCAGCCTCTACATTCCAGATGCCTGTGGCCCCTCTCCAGCTGTGACAACTAAATCTCTCCAGACATTGCCCGATGTCCTCTGGGAGCTAGGACTGCCCTCCCCTCACACCCTCGAGGACCACGGATTTAGAGGGACACAGACAAAGGGACTGAGACCTGAGAGACCAAGGGCAGAGAGAGGAGGACAAGGAATGAGAGTGTCCCAGAGAACAAAGGATGGAGACAGAAAGGGGCAGATACCAAGAGGGGGTGGGGGATGGGCACCCACAGAGGGAGGACAGAGGTGTGGGGTGGGGCTGTGGGGAGGGGGAGCGGGTCACACTCACAACTTCTGGGCGTGGCTGATGCGGTTGTACAGCACATTGATCTACAGAACAGGAGGGAGATGCTGGTGGGGACAGCAAGTGGGGACGGCCGCCCACCCACGCCCGGCCCAGCCCAGCCCAGCCCATGCCATCCCCCTACAAAGGCGAGTCCCACCTCATATCTCTGCTGCTTCATCTTTGCCATCAGGTCGAACTTCTCGGACTCCAGCTGGTGGATCCAGTCCGACAGCTCCTGGGCCTTCTCCCTGGCAGGGCAGGAGGGCCGTGATGGAGGAGGGGAGCCAAGCCATGCCTTAGGCCCAGAGGTGGACAAGGACTCTGGCCCAGAGAGGTTGGGGGAACCACCAAACCCACACAGCAAGTCTCCGAGCTCAGTGTTGTTGGCAGCATTTTGTTAATATTTGAGGCCAGGGGTCTTTAAACTTGGGCACACTTTCTCCACCTCCAAAATGGAGAGCTCACGTTTTCCCAGGGGAAAGGAGGGTGTCATTCAGGGTTAAGAGCTCAGGCTCCAGAGTCAGAAACCACCCCTGGTTCAAATCCCACTTCTGCCATTCGTGGGTTTATGACTCTGGCCAAGTGACTTCTTTTAGAATCCTGTTTCCCTCCACAAAAAATATAGAAATAAAAGTGGAAGAGGCCGGGCGCAGTGGCTCACGCCTGTAATCCTAGCACTCTGGGAGGCCGAGGCAGGAGGATCACGAGAGCTCAGGGGTTCAAGACCAGCCTGAGCAAGAGCAAGACCCCATCTCTGCTAAAAATGGAAGGAAATTAGCTGGACAACTAAAAATATATAGAAAAAATTAGCCGGGCATGGTGGCGCATGCCTGGAGGATCGCTTGAGCCCAGGAGTTTGAGGTTGCTGTGAGCGAGGCTGACGCCGCGGCACTCTAGCCCGGGCAACAGAGTGAGACTTTGTCTCAAAAAATAAATAAATAAATAATGAAAATGTTGCCTATCTAACATCCCTTATCTCTTTCTTTAAAAACAGAACCTTGTGCAATTGGCTCCGTTGAAAAACTACATTTCCCAACCTCCCTTGCAGGTGGGGATGCCCAATGGGGTGAAAGTAGATCATCAGTGGGGCTTCCAAGAAAGACTTTATGGCTCTTCTCCTGGAACTTCTTTCCACTGCTTGGATCATGAACGTGATGTCTGGAGTTCCAGCAGCCATACTGGGCCATGAGGTGATTTTGAGGATGGAAATATCAGGCTAAAAGTGACGGAGCAGAAAAATAGGACGGGTCTCTGATGATTTTGTAGAATTGCTATACCAGCCATGGAGTACCTACCTTCAGATTTCTTCTATGTGAGAAACTAAACCTCTGTATTTTAGGCTGCTGTAGTCAGACCTCAGTTACTAGAGGCCAAACTTATTCTTAAATGATAAAAAAAATCTGCACTGCGCTGTTGTGGGCTGAGATAACATGTGTCAAGTGCCTGGCATACAGGCATAGGGCAAATACTCCATAAAGCTGATGTTAGTGTTCATTTTATTATTAGTAACACTCCTTGGGGTGTTTTTGTGTTTGTTTGTTTGTTTTCTGGCTAATGGCTTTTAAATGCCTTCTCCTTCATGGTGTATTTTATTTAAGAATTTTATAGGCCAGGCATGGTGGCTCACGCCTGTAATCCTAGCACTTTGGGAGGCCAAGGCGGGCGGATTGTTTGAGCTCAGGAGTTCGAGACCAGCCTGAGCAAGAACGAGACCCCGTCTCTACTAAAAATAGAAAGAAATTAACCAAACAACTAAAAATATATAGAAAAAATTAGCCGGGCATGGTGGCGCATGCCTGGAGGATCGCTTGAGCCCAGGAGTTTGAGGTTGCTGTGAGCTAGGCTGACGCCATGGCACTCTAGCCTGGGCAACACAGTGAGACTCTGTCTCAAAAAAAAAAAGAAAAAGAATTTTATAGCCCCTTCATATGCCTCTGGTTTCTCCTATCTAATAAATAAAGTTTAGGTAACTTGAGATCCTCAAAAAATATCATTGGAACTAAACTACGAGTATGTGTCAGGGGACAAACAAAGGAAGGAAAAGAAAAAAATGAGCATCGACTGCATGTTATTTTATGCCGGGCCTGCAATGATATTTCACGTGGCGGAGGGCGCCTAGCCAGCCTCAAGGCTTCCAAGAGCCAACCGTGCACGTGTTTTCCCAGCTCCACCTTCAGTGCCCGCACACTGGGAGTCAGAAGTCAGCAAGGCGGTAGTATTTATACAATGGAAATGGGCAAGCGCTAAATCTAGACTATTTTCCCCTGGAGAGCCAGCATGGAAGCAAAGAGTGGGGACTATTGCACCAGACTGCCCGGGTTCAAATCCCAGCTCTTCCACTTGCTAGCTGTGCAACCTTGACAAGGTTACTTAACCTCTCTGTGCCTCAGGTTCCTCATTAGTAACACAAGGATAATAATAGTATCCACCTCATAGGATTGTAAACCCTCCATAGGAAGCTGCTGCTATTATCATCATCATTATTATTATTTTCTCGCTGAGCTTTCACAACTCTGTGAGGTAGATTTATCATATTCTCATTTCACCAATGAGGAATGGGAGGTCCAGAGACGTTCGACAACATGACTAAGGTCACACAGTAGCTGGCGGAGCTAGCACTGAGCCCTGGCAAGGGCCCTCAGGGCTTGAGCACCAAACCCTAGCACGATGCCGCCTCCGAGCGGTTGAAGCTTTTGACTATTTGAGCTGTGCCCCAGCCACGCCCCATCAGGATGCAGATGACAGCCCTGAAGGAAAGACCCTCCCCAGCCTCCCTCTGTGGCTTAGCACAGGAGGCAGCCTGTCCTGGCAAGGGGATGTGAAGGAGAAGACCGAGTCTCATGGGGCAGGGACTCAGCTAGAAAATTCTTGCCAGCACATGGGATTTTAGCTTAGGTAGAAGAGCCCATCCTGAGCTCCACGGCATATTATCAAGTTAACAAAATCTCCTAAATGGGGGAGCCGTCTTGTCTGGCTTCCCCCCATGTCATCTGCCAGAGTCTAAAGGCCACAGTGGGTTCTATATCAGTGATCAGTGACATGTTTCACAGAGAAGTCAGCGGGGCCCCAGAGAGGGGGAGCCACTTGCCCAGAGTCACACAGCACCAGGGCTCAGACCCAGAGCATCTGCCTACCTGAGTCTGGGCAAGGGTTCTTATCTCTCTGTCTCAAACCCAGGCCCCTCCAGCCCCGAGCCCCCCACAACACCTACCGGAGCTGGTCCTCCCCCATGTAGTCAATTTCCAGAGGCTTCTTACGCTCGGACAGGATTCGCACTTTCATCTCCCGCCCTGTCTGCCGTTTCCCACGCTTCTGTTCGGCCTGCGGGTTGGGGAAGGGGCCCCTTGAGCTAAAGGTCAAATCTCCCAGGAGGAGGGTCAGACCCAGGAACCCCCACACCCAGGCCCTGCTCCCTCAGACCCTGAAGTTCATACCGCTATTCTCTCCTCCATCCAGAGCCAGAAATCTGAACCCTCCACTCCCTCCTTCCCCAGAACTTAGACCTCAGGCTGCTGCATGCTGAGCTCACCTTGACCAGGTAACCTCCGAAATGGGCCCCCATGTTGGACAGAACCTTCTTCTTTTTGGCATCATCCTCCGCCCGCTTCTTGGCCTCTTCCTCTTCCTTCCGCATCTTCTCCTCCTGTGGGAAGAAAGGGGTGAACCCCATGGGCTCCCCTCCAGGACGGAGGGAGGAGGGTCCTGGGATGGGAAGAGGGGGCTCATTTCCCTGCTGACTGAAGCTGAGGCTCAAGGATCCATCAGACCCAGAGCCCGAGAGGCAAGGGCAACATCATGATTGGCGAAAATGAAGGAGCCCTCTCCCGGCCCCTCCAGGCCTGACTGTGTGACCACCTGCAATTCTCTTCCACTCTCCAGGCCTTAATATCCTCCCAGCAAAAATTAACATGAGGAGAGAGGAGGAACACGCTTGCTTGTTCTGCATCCCCCCAGCCTGAATAGCCAATGGCCAACTTTGCTGTGTGACCGCAGTCCAGATACTCAACCACTCTGAGCCTTGGACTCGCTTAATCTCATGAGACGAGAATTCATTTTCAGAGGGTTAACAAAGGTGACTGCTGATGGGACTGGGGATTTGGGGCACTAAAGAGGCTGATGGGCTCGAGCCTGAGGAAGGGGTTCTAGAATGTTCAGTGAAGGCGTTACAGTGTTCCAGAAAAGCTGCACTGCATATTCCACAAGCAGTGGCTTATCCACGCTGAACCCCCTCTGCCCTCCGAAAGGGTGGTGAGGTGGACATGGTTTTCTGCACGTCCAGCATTCCCTACCTGAATGAGTTTCCTATTGTTGCATTAATTTGCAAACTTAGTGGCATAAAACAGTGTAAGGCTATTATCTTGCAGTTCTGCAGGTCTGAAATCTGAAATGAGTCCCACTGGGACGAAATCAAGGTGTGTACAGAGCCGGTTCCCTCTGGAGGTTCTCGGGGAGAGTCTATTTCCTTCCCTTTCCCCGCTTCTGGGGCCGCCTGCAGTCTTTGGCTCGTGGCCCTTTCCTCCCCCTTCAAAGGCAGCAATGTGGCATCTTCAAATGTCTCTGTATCCGACCCGCCTGCCTCCCTCTGTTAAGGACCCACGTGATGGCATTGGGCCCCCCAGATAATCCAGAACAATCTTCCCATCTCGAGATCCTTACTGAATCACATTCATAAACCCCCCCTGGCTGCGTAAGGTAATGCACTCACAGACTCCGGCGAGCAGGATGTGGATATCTTCGGGGGACATTATTCTGCCTACCACCCTACCCTACTGTTACTCTTTAAAAGTGGTTGGAGTGGGGACCCTCCTCGATGCCGCAGTGGGTGATGTCCCCAAGGCGTAAGCCACTCAAAGAATTCTAACCACTCTCCCCAGACTAGCCAGTGATCAGCCCCATGACGGACAGGTGGACAGTCTGAACACACCCCAGGGTTTGTGCAGTAGAGAGAGAAAAAAGGAGTTTAAGCTAGAGCTGCTGGTGGCCATCCTGTGAATCAGGGTGTCCAGTAGGGTGACCAACCAGTCCAGTGTGCCTGGGACTCATGGGATGTAGGATTTTCAGGGCTAAAACCAGGAAAGTCCCAGGCAAACCAGGAGCTGGTCACCGTAGTGTCCACAAAATGTGGGCCAAGGGTTGGGAAGATAAAAGCTCCTTCTTTGTGGTATCATTTGAGTCCCTTGATCCAACCATGCCTGAAGCAAGCCAAATTCTAGTTATATGAGCCAATAAAATTCTCTTTCTCCTAAATCCAGTTTGGGTTGGGATTTCCATCTTTTCCAACAGAAAGATCCTTAAAGAATACAGCAGGGGGGTTTTCTCAGGACGACAGAGAATATCAGGAATGGAAAACGGAACACCCAGCCGAGGAAGCGCCCTGCAGTCTCCCAGGGAAGGGGAGGCACCCACCGCCAGCTTCGCCTGACGCTCGCGTTCCTTCTCCGTCCTGAAGCGCTGCTGCTCGGCTCTCTCCGCCCGGCGCCGCTCCTAGAGGAGAGAGAAGCATGTGGGGGTGCAGAGACCTCCACCCCAATCATTCCTCCCCACAGCAGGCTTGAGCGTGGCCACCGGCTGGGGTAAATTCCCGAAAGTCTCGGCCTGCGTTCTGTACTGGGACAAAAACCATTCTCCGCTATCCCGAGACCCGAGGGGGCGGCACAGAGCGAGGAAAGACTCTGGGGACCCGGGACCCCCCCGACTCACAATGCGCTCTTTCAGCGCGATCAGCTCCTCTTCCTCTTTCTTCCTCTGCTCAAAGTGCACGTCGATGAGCGTCTGCAGCTCCAGCAGGTCCTTCTCCATGCGCTTGCGGTGGATGTCCTGCCGGGGGACAGGCAGTGGCGGCCCCTGAGACCCCGAGAAGCCCCAGCGCCAGGTGCAGGCAGCCGGGAGCCCTTCCCCGCAGGAGGCGATGGCTCACTGGTCGGCTACTCTAAGGACACGCCTCCCCGAGGCGGGAGTGGGAGGCCGCCTGGTCCTGACTGGCACGAAGGCGCCGCGAGGACGAGCTAGCAACCGAGCCCGGCGACCGGGGACCCGCCACTTACATCGAAGTCAACGCGCTCCCCTTCTGGGATCTTGGGGGGCATCAAAGGAGGCACCATCGGACGGCTGAGTGGACAGAGACGGACGAAGACCATGAGCAGCCGACCTCCCGACCCGCCCGCGACTGCAGCTGTCCTCGTGGCGGCCACTAGCCACCCCGGCTCCCCACGCCCTCGACTGTGGCCGGCGGGGACTGAGATGGACCGTCAGTGCCAACCGAACAATGTCAGATACCCCACTAGGATTGCTTTATACCGATGACATGTTGGAGTAGTAAAATCTCGGATATAATGGGTTTAATAAAATACGCTATTTTACCTATTTCATTGTACTCTTGAAAATGTGGTGGTAAAAGAATTTACGCGAAGGCCAGCCCCCAGCGCCCTCCTCGGTTTCCTCCCATCAGCACTCCCGCTTCCTCGGAATTCTCCTTTCCTTGGAGTCTGAGGCAGAACCTTCTCCTGACCTGCCTCCCACCTCGCTGGCTGTCCCCCCTCTGCCTCCTCGTCCCCCCCGGGGAGCCCCGAGGGTCTTCCTTTGCCGCTCTGCTCGTGCGCAGGCACGCTCACGGCCAAGCGCGTCCACCCCCGCGACTTCAGTTACCAGCCACGACGAGGACTCGCCAAGTCTGCCTCCCGCTCAGACTCTCTCCGGAGCCGGGCTCAGGTTAACAGATGTCTCCTGGGCATTTCCCACCTTCCCGCCCACCGCGCTCCGGCAGGGCTCCTCGACCTCTCCAAGAAGGAGGCGGCGGCTCCAGCATCCTTTTGGTTCCCCAGTGCCCCTTGGGAGCTGTCCTCACCTCCTCCTCTCCTGGCCCCAATAATTCCCAAGTCCTGCCTCCTTCTCAGTCGGTTCCCTCCCCTGCACCCCACGGCTCCTGCTCCAGCTTAGACCTCTCCCCCTCCCACCTGCACCATCACTCCAGCCTCCTCTCTGGCCTCCCTGCCTCCAGCGTGTGGCTTATCCTCCTCTATGATCCCAGAGGGACCTTTCTAACACCCAGAGCCAGCCCCGTCCCTCCCCGCAACCCCACACTGCCTTTAGGATGAAGACGAAGCAACCAGCCTGGCACTCAAAGCCCTTCCCCTTCTGGCCCCAGCCGGCTTCTCCAGCATCTCCTGTCCTCACTCACAAGCACACACATTGCCTGGTTCCCTGACCAGGTCATGCACTTTCGCACCCCTGGGCCTTTCTTTGCATGTGCTGTGCCCTCTGCCTGTGATGCCCTTCCCATCCATGACATACTCCACCCCGGCGGCCTCACCCGCACCAACAAGCCTTCCCTGACCCTGAAGCACATCTGC